CAGGCAATGACAGTCCCTGCCATCTCTATTTGCAGCCCATCCTCTAGATAAAGCAGTTCTTCACTTCCCCAATCCAACCTGTGGACGATATAATTATCACCCACAGACAGTTTAAGGGTTATGGCTCACTTATCAAAGCTTTAGGCTGCAATAAAGCCGGTATCTTAAGTTGCTTGAGTCTCTGGAGATCATCTGCCCCTCAGGGCTCTTCCTCCCCCTCTTTAAATCTCCCCCACTTTCCCCCTTTAAATCTTCATTTTGTTGGTATTCTTTTTGGTTGTTGTCGCCCACTTCTTTCGAAACTTAGCTAAAATATGTAAAATGTTTAAAATAGCCACTTAGATTAAATCTTGGTCAGTGAAAATTGATATGTCAATAAAATGTAAAAATAAACATAATAAAATACAAAATGGAATAAAAGCTACTGACCTTCTTTTACAAGATTCTAGAGGGAGAGAGAAATTAAAAATAAAAACATGATACATTTTTAGGAATATTCAGTTTTTTCCTCCTCAGATTAGATATTATTTTTACCTATTATTTGATTTTCATTCCTTTATTATTTTAAGTAACTCAAGGTGGAAAACATACACATTAGTCATCCCTCTTCCTATTTTTCCTACAGCAACAACCCTGTGAAGTGGGTTGGATTGAGAGAGAATGACTGGCCCAAAGACGCCCAGCTGCCTTTCATGCCTAAAATGGGGCTAAAACTCACAATCTCCTGATTTCTAGTCTGATGCCTTTACTTCTAGACTAGATCAAACTGGGTTAGTGCATTTCCCGTCAACTGTGGTTTTATCAAAAATCCATGGTTAAGATACAGCATGGTTTAATGTGAAATATGGATCATCTACTTTCTCTTTTTGTTGTTCAAAGTTCTTGTATGCTTATAGTTGAACAGATTACAATTTCAAAAAGCTATTTTGGCAGGCAAATGGGAGAATGACAGAAGAAGGGAAATGATGTATCTAAATGAAGGTGCCCTGCAAATTATTTTTATCATTTGCCAAGAATCCAGCAGCAATAGCTGCTTCATTTTAAGATGTCAGAGATTGTGCTGCAATTTAAGAATAATTTTTCCAGAAAGAAAATAATAGTACAGAGGAAGTACTCTAACTTTTCATATCAAGACTTACATCACTTTTTATGCAGGACAATTGGAAGCCAAATTGCCTTCGGTGTGGGTTCAAGATCATTCACTTTAGATGAATTATTATCTTCATGAACAAATGATCTATCATGCTTTAAAACACCTTTGATTAGAATAATTTATAAAAGAAGTAAAGGAACAGAAATCTCTGCAGAGCCCTGTGAAGTACTGTTTTCTAATTGGGAACAGATCACTTAGTGAAAATTAAACTGAATTTGAATTATTCAAACAAACTTTACACAGCTAGTTTTTCTATCATCTAAGAGGTGGTAGTGATAACGTTACTCTATGTATGACATCTGAGAAGCTAAAAACAACAACCTGTCCTGCATGAACAACTTAGGCTGTGAGGCATCATGAGACAGTTCACTAGGGCAAGGAAGTGGTCCAGATCCAAAGATATGTCATGAGTGCACCTGCCAGAAACACCTTAAAACACCTGCATCTTTTCCTGGGCCCACCCAGCTATCTTCTCCAACTGCTGCATGATCCCAGGAAAAGTTGCTTGGATTTAGGGCGTTCTGGGCAAATGCTACACGCATGGTCACAATCACATTTTGTCTTAGATTGCTGTGATGTTTTATATAACCTATTCATGACTTTGCAAAGCCAAACAGAAGATGTACTGTTTTTCTGGACTGAGAGTTATATTTGACTTTTGAGTGGGATGCCAAGAACACTTAAAAAAAATAGTGGGTCAGGCCAGGACAAAAACTAAATTTTATTTCAGTTATAGTAAGTTAAATGTAAACATAGTTAAAATGATTCATCACCAGGGTACCTCAGAATTAGGCCTGGTTGCAAATAAATAGTATAGTATAAACAATATACTGTTATGTTACATATTATATTTTGATAACAATTTTTAGAAATTCCTAGGATGTAAAAGTGGAAGATTTATTTTGTATTGGAAGGAAATATTTCTTGTCCTAAAGAACCACCATGGGAAATGCTTTCTATTAAATCAAGTGCTGAACAAGTGTGTAATGATGTATGGGTAACAGAAAAAAAGTGAATATATTTATTCTTTTAGCATCGGTACCGTGGTTATCATTGAAATTGTTACTTAGTTGAGTAAAGTTGTATAATGAAATATCTGTAAGAAAATAACTATGCTCTCAGATAACATTAAGGACCCAACAATTCAATCCTCATCTACAAATATTCTTTTCTATTAGTCATGGTTTATTTAACTGTGGTTTATTAAATTACAGCAATAGCATTCGCACTTAGACTGCTTCACAGTGCTTTACAGCCCTCTCTAAGCGGTTACAGAGTCAGCATATTACCCCCAATAATCTGGGTCGTCATTTTACCGACCTCAGAAGGATGGAAGGCTGAGTCAACATTGAGCTGGTGAGAATCGAACTGCCGAACCGCTACAATCGGCTGGCTTCACAAAATATACTAAGCCTCAAACAAGCAAACTAAATGACTTACTATTATAATACATGAACCTAGTAACTATAATAAAAAAGATTCCTAACATAATGAAATTAGTATGTAATTGTAAATAATGCAAAATTATTATAGATGGGAAACAAATGTATATATTCATTAATTTAATTCTGATTCTTCCCAACTCCAACTGACTCAAATATTATCTGAGTCCCCTTCGGGGAGAAAAGGGCAGCATATAAATGTAATAAATTGAATAAATTGAATTGAATCTTGTATGTTGTGCCAGAACTAATACAGATAATAGTTCCTAACTTCCTATCAATGATGGCAAAATTGTGATTTTCCAATACTTTGTGATGTATTGAAATCAAACTATATTATTTATGTTAATGTTATTAATGATAACATTGATTATCATTGCATCATTGTATCGTAATGTGTGTGCTGTTAGAGCTATTGATATCCCAAAGGTACTTTTTCAAAAGGCAACTGGACTTTGTTTTTCCTTGAAGACATTTTGCTTCTCATCCAAGAAGCTTCTTCAGTTCACTTCTTGGATGAGAAGCAAAATGTGTTCGAGGAAAAACAAAGTCCAGTTGCCTTTTGAAAGAACACCTTTGGGACAACCATTACCTGGCTACCTAAGAATCTCCATAGACATAGCTATTGATATCTACATTGGCACTCCCCATCAAGAAAGATAAAGAGCAGCTCTCACAGATTTATTTCCTATAAATACCAGACAGACCAACCTAAGTCTTTTACAGGACACTGAGCTACAATGGGCAACAAGGGTTTGTGATAATTCACAGAAAAATAGTCACAGCATTTTTTTTACTGCAATTCCCATCTTCTCTGCTAGTGTTGGTTTTGGCAGGCAGGGAGTGAAGATGTACCTGACACAGCTGGAGAACACCAGGCAGTGGGGATAAACTTCACTGGGTCTTGTGTCTGTTATTTTTCTAACTATTCCCAGCAGGAATATCATATCTATTTTGCTATTCATCAGATCACCCCATTGGGCATGAGAACTTCAGATTACTTATGGCAAAACACTTTTAAAACTACATAGGCTGAGTGCATGGAGGCTAAGAGTCATACCACAATGCAGATTTGCAACATCACATTTGCAGCTTGATTTGGCTGACCTAATATATTAAGATTGAAGTAGAGGACTTGCAAGAATGTAAGGGAATGGTGTGATCTGAATGAAATTTCAACAAACACATTACAAATAAGATTATGATTTGCACACCATTTACAGTATCCCACAGCCTGTAAGAGATGATTCTATAGTACAGTATGACACTACAAGGAACCTTAATGCCCCAAACTGAATCATGCAGCCATGAGCACATAATTCTAGTGTCCCATCACCAGAAATTGAAGGAACAAGAATAAACATGGATAGAAGAAAGCAGTACATGACCAGTAAAATGTAAGAAGAAACATTTTGTCACATGGAAGTCATGTTATCTTGTGGGGTGGGGAGTGTGTGTGTGTGAAATCCGGGATTTGTCCAGGACTACGCTTCACATTTTACAATAAGGTTTAATCTTGCAATGTTAAGTAGCAACGAATTACAGTTGCACGGTGTTTTAGAGAAGGAATAAAGTCGTCAAAGAAAAGCTGCCTGGAAAGAGAGCCCCCCACCCCCCACCCCTTCAAACAAGACCAACGTTTTGGGAGACGATGGTGATGCCTAAATGGTTTTGTGGCCTGGAAAAACGGAGTAACAGAAGTAACTACATTCTCAAAACGTGAAAGTCGGGTTCACCTGCCGACACTTCCACCTGTAGCAAGGGGTGCCAGCTTAGCTAGCCATCCCAAAGATTCGCACCCCAAGGGCGCAAATGGAGGGCGATGGGAACTGGAGCCGATGCCCTGAGGTAGTGGACGCTGCGTGGAAAGCGAACTCTCACTGAAGAAAGGGAACTATCCGGGGGGGTGGAAACACCCCTAAACCCGTCGCGCAATCGAAGGACGGCAGAAGCAAGGAAGGCCATAGGGGACCGAAGGCGGGAGGGGGACAGAAGGAGCTGCCAAAAACCAGAGCCGAAAAAACTTCCTCGGAGCAGATGCCGAACGCGGGGTTGGAGCTGGGGTCGGGGGGGGGGTGTAAAAGAGGCGGCACAAGAGCTTCAATTTGGAAGAGGGGGGGCCGAAGGCAGCGTCTCCCCCCACTCAGGTCCAAGGGAGGGCGGGAGAAGCAGATGGGGACTGACTGGGGGGGGGGGGGGCGGGGCCGGCGCAGAGGCGGCTGCAGCTGCGGCTG